AATGAACAAAATCTGGCTACCAGTATTAAAAAACTCTAAAATTACAACAGCAAAACAACAGAGAGGAAGCAAACAAGAACATCTAATCACCTCTCAACAAAAGATTGCCCCAGGCACTGCCAGGCAATCAAATGCTAATCAAAGTGATCAGTTGAAACATTCACACCTAGCTCCAGCAGACAAGAGTCTTTTGTCCCACCCTGGTCATTCCACAGATATATAAACCCTTTTTCCTAGTTCCAACAGACCTCACTACCTCTGAGGATGCTTGCCATAGATGCAGGCGAAACGTCAGGAGAGAATGCCTCTAGAACATGCCCATGCAGCCCGAAAAACCCTACAACAACCCAGTGATTCCGGCCATGAAAGCCTTCGACAACAGTATGATACATCCTTTGCAGTCAAAGGGGGCGGACATCCATCCAGTCGGTGAAAACAAGACCTGGGGCTGACTGTAGTTCAGATCATGAACTTCTTATTGCTCAATCTATATAAATAAAAATGTAATGTTCATTTGTGGGATTAACATAACTCAAAAACCACTAGACGAATTGACACCAAATTTGGACACAATACACCTAACAACCCAATGTATGTCTTTCACTCAAAAGAATGATTTTGTCATTTGGGAGTTGTAGTTTCTGGGATTTATAGTTCACCTACAATCAAAGAACATTCTGAACCCCACCAACGATGGAATTGAACCAAACTTGGCACACAGTTCTCCCATGGCCAACAGAAAATACTGTAAGGGTTTAGTGGGCAGTGTCCTTTGGTTTTGGAGTTGTAGTTCACCTACATCCAGAGAGCACTGTGGACTAAAACAATGATGGGTCTGGACCAAAGTTGGCACAAATACTCAATATGCCCAAATGTAAACACTGGTGGAGTTTGGGGGAAATAGAATCTTGACATTTGGGATTTGTAGTTGCTGGGATTTATAGTTCACCTACAATCAAAGAGCATTCTGAACCCCACGAACGACAGAATCAGGGCAAACTTCCCAAACAGAACCCCCATGACCAACAGAAAATACTTAAGGCCATCCAGTCCAACTCCCTTCATCAGGGCAAAAAAATCCAATCAAAGCCCTCCTGACAAAGAGCCATCCAGCCATAGATATAGACGGACAGATAGATAGATAGATAGATAGATAGATAGATAGATAGATAGATATGATTCACACACACACAGATATAGTATCATAGATTTGAAATACTGTTTACCCAAAAGCAAATTACATATATTAGAAACCAACACTTTCTCATTATTTTATTTTCCAGATCACCAGACTGGGCCACAGCAACGCGTGGCAGAGGACAGCTAGTGAGTATATATATATATACACACACATACACATATATTTTTCCTAGCTTATTTCTAACACTATCTGCTATCTCGCTTTTTGCATTTTGGGCTCCTGAGCTCTGGGAATAACTTGTTTTTATTTTTGAGAATATACTTTAAAAGGAAAACAGCTGATTGTCAAACTGAGCCTTTTGCTGCTGTGCTGCTCCTGTTGTCGCTGCTTCCTCATCCTTCTGGAATCCCAGGACCCGGGGACTTGATGTGGTCATCCCATGAGGCCATCGGGGAGTGGATCTGCCACCTGGTTCCAGACCTTGGAGGGAGTTGTAGTTCTCCAAGGACCAAAGGACAAGCTTCAGCCCCAGCAATGCAGAGCTTCATATCTTGGCTCAGTGGAATCGCCCAGCCTCTCTTTGTGATTTTTTAAACCTTTTTGCCACACATCAAGAACTTTTTTCCCCCCTTAATGGACATACTAGGACGTGGAACAATGGCTTCAAACTACAAGAAAGGAGATTCCATCTGTGAGAGTTGTTCAGCAGTGGAACTCTCTGCCCCGGAGTGTGGTGGAGGCTCCTTCTTTGGAGCTTTTAAAGAGAGGCTGGATGGACATCTGTCAGGGGTGTTTTGAATGCAATTTTCCTGCTTCTTGGCAGGGGGTTGGACTGGATGGCCCATGAGGTCTCTTCCAACTCTAGGATTCTATGATTCTATCTAAACCCACACTGGCATATATCCCGTTCAAAGCAGAAAATGGGAGGTTTCATTCCATTGTGTGGAAGGGGCCTCGATTGCCCAGGCTCAATGCTATGGGCTCTTAGGGCCTTTCAACACAGCCCTATATTGCAGAATATCAAGGCAGATAATTCACAATATCTGCTTTGAACTGGGTTATCTGAAGCCCCTTCCATGCAGCTGAATAAAATCCCACATTTTCTGCTTTGAACTGAGTTATACATTTTAGTTCTCTTAATGTTTATATTTGAAAATGGAATTCTGTTACGTTACTGACTGATTTGTTATAATGTCTTTATTATTACTTTTAGGTAGATGATGATACATATTTTTAATTTGGGTAGTTCTGGTGGGTTTGGTTTATTAATACGTTATAGCATTGAATGTTTGCCGCTACTTGTTGTGAGATAGGGTGAGGTATAAATAAAGTTTTATTATTATTAACTAAAATGATCAAAGAGCCGGAGACCATGAATCCCTATGAGAAGCGTCTTAAAGAACTGGGTATGTTTAGCCTGCAGAAGAGAAGGTTTGAGAGGAGACATGATAGCCATGTATAAATATACGAAATGGTGTCGTAAGGAAGAGGAAGCAAGCTTGTTTTCTGCTGCCCTGGACACTAGGACTCGGAGCAATGGGTTCAAATTACAGGAAAAGAGATTCCACCTGAACATTAGGAAGAACCTCATGACTGTAAGAGCTGTTCAACAGTGGAACTCTCTGTCTTGGAGTATGGTGGAAGTGTCTTCTTTGGAAGCTTTTAAACAGAGCCTGGATGGCCATCTGTCAGAGGTACTTTGATTGTGCTTTTCCTGCATGGCAGATTGGGGTTGGACTAGATAGCCCATGTGATCTCTTCCAACTCTATTATTCAATGATTCTAGGACCCCTTCCACACAGCTGTATAAAATCCCACATTATCTGCTTTGAAGTGGTTATATGACTCAGGGCCGTACCACACAGCCATATAACCAGAATATCAAGGCAGATAATCCACATTATCTGCTTTGAACTGGATTATCTGAATCTACATTGCCAGGTAATCCAGTTCAAAGCAGATAATCTGGATTTTATTCAGCTGTGTAGAAGGAGCCTGTAATGATTATTGATTATAGTGGCCATCTCTACATCTTGGAAGTAGTGAATTCCACAATGAGGTATTATTATTATTATTATTATTATTATTATTATTATTATTATTACTACTTGCGTCTTGAAGCGGGAGTTCTACCGGGCATGGTTGTACTTGCCAATGTTGAACTTATCTGGTTGTATATGCAGAGGCGGCCCTTGGTAATTTTCAATGGTAAGCAAACAGTATTTTGGCGACCCACCCCCACCCCCCAACCAATCACTGATATATATTTTCTGTTCGTCATGGGAGTTCTGTGTGCCATATTTGGTTGAATTCCATCATTGGTGGAGTTCAGAATGCTCCTTGATTGTAGGTGAACTATACATCCCAGTAACTACAACTCACATATGTCAAGGTCTATTTTCCCCCTTAAGAGCGCCCCTGGGCAAAATCAACCATACTGCAAATGCTTACTTTGCGTAATGGGTTGAGACGCCCCTGTGTGTATGCTATAGAGGAAGTCAGTCACAGCTTGACTAAGGTGAACTGTGACATTTTGGTTACTGAAGTGGAAACTCCAGATTTAACTTCTTTCCCCCACCCCTCACCTTCACTAATTAGTATTTTGTTGCTACCCTTTTGCAAATCATTTTAGTTGGGAATGCACAAAACAAACTGCCCCATTGTTCAGATTGTGACTTGCATTTTTGTCCTTCATGGCACCCTAGATCTATATGTGTACCTCACTTTTCTTTATGGTCCAGAATCACCCCAGACTATATCTTTTGGTGAGCCTTGCCCAGTTTGGTGCCCTCCAGAGGTGTTGGATTACAGCTCCCATCCCCTGGAATCAGGCCTGTAGCGAGGGGGGGGTTAGGGGTTCAACCCCCCCCCCCCCAAATGTTTCAGATTTTTTTTAAAAAACCTGGTTTACTCATGAATTTTAACTGGTTAACCAAATCCCCATGATAAGTCTATGAGATGCAAAAAATTAAGAGTCCCTCCAGAACTGCAAGCACTATCTCAAGCAAATATTTATTTATTTATTTACTTATATGCCGCCACTCCCCTGGTGCTCAGAGTGGCTTACAAGAACAGGCTAAAATCAAACACAATTTAAAAACAATTTAAAACAATTTAAAAACAGAAATATCAGAGATCAAAGGCCCATCGAAACAGATATGTCTTACATGCCCTGCGGAAAGCTGATAAGTCCCGCAAGGCACGGACTTATGGTGCCACTGCTGTAAAGGCTCTGCGTCTGGTTGCTGTTAGACGCAAGGTCTTGGCACTGGGAATTTCCAATAGATCTTGGTCCTCAGAACGGAGGGATCTCTGGGGTTGGTAGGGGGTGAGGCGGTCCCTCAGGTACATCGGCCCCAGACCATGCAAGGCCTTAAATATTGACAATATATTCACACTGTCATTACTTTCAGCAATAGCCGATGTAGTGAAGCAACCAAGTTGGGGTGTGTGTGTGTTGAATGCTCTCATTAAGGAGGCCAGACTTGGTGGAGGTGGTTGACAGGGGCGGAGCTGCAGGCTATTGAAGGCTGCTCTGCCCCTGCTGTGCTCTTTGCTTCAGCGTGAGCTAGGAGGCAGGTTTCAACCCCCCCCCCCCGTGAAAATTTCAAACCCCCCCCCCCAAATTTCAACCCCTCCCGAAATTTTTTTCTGGCTACGGCCCTGCCTGGAATTGTGGAGGTTGTTGTCCGGTATGTCTGGAGGGAACTGTTTTTGGGGAAGGTCGGCATAGACAGACTCCCCATTTGGATAGGCTTGTGAAATATTAATGCCATAACATGTGGTCTTTATAAGATCATCACAAGTGTGCCTTGGAAGACAGTGGAGTCTAACACAAGTGTTACAAACAAACACAGGTAGTAAAACTCAGATGTCTCACTTCTTTATTGCAAAGCATGTGGGAGGGAGAGCATTTGTAGTGGAAATATGTAGAGTGTGGGGAGATAGTGCTTATATTTGCCTGCTTACAAATTTTCCACGAATAAACACCTCACCGCTTTCTGAGAGCTGTGAATCAACCACAGAGCTGCTTTTCTCACCTGCCGAGCTCTAAAATAGGCTTCTGGTGTCAACATCTGGCTTCTTAGAGGTGAAGGTAAAGTGGTTGACAGGGGAAGTGGCCATTTTTCTCCTCCCAGAACCTATTGTCTTATGGTGAAGAAACTGGCCATTTGGCTTTGAATGAGTAGAGTAGACAGACAGCCTTTAGCTTTGCAAGATCTACAGGCAGTCCCTAAGTTATGAACACAATAGGTTCTGTTGTTTTGTTCTTAAGTTGAATTTGTGTGCAAGCCAGAGCATGTACATTTTTAAGGGTTACTCCAAAAAAATAGCTTTTGATAGCTTAGAGAAGGGTGGTGTTTGTTTTGATGTCTGTGCCCCTCTTCAGAAGATTTCACTCCACTTTCTGTCCTCGTGATCATTGAATTTTGACAAAACCGGCTTGTTGTGGAAACAAGGATTAGTGATAAAGCTTCTGCCTTGATATTCTGAGCCCTGAGATCTACCTGTTGGGAGTCAGGTACAAAAACATGAAACAATCTGAAAGAAAATATACATTTTGGGGGCCTTTCCACACAGCCCTATATCCCAGACTATCAAAGCAGAAAATCCCACAATATCTGCTTTGAACTGGGTAGCTAAGTCCACACTCAGATAATGTGGGATTTCCTGCGTTGATATTCTGGGATATAGGGCTGTGTGGGAGGGCCTTAGGTGCTTGCTTACTTACTTAGGCGATCCCTCGTAGTCCGAGGATGATGGTCCTACCCTGTTTGGGTATCAGCCAGCACGTCAATGACTTAAATCAAGAAATAGTTTTCTAAGATCTACAGAGACACTTGCTGGAACACCTCAGCAAGCGAGAGTCCAAAAGTGGCAGGCTCAAACCCAGAACCTCAATCCGGTGCTGATATCAAATGAGAGACTCCCTCCTGGGCACACAGAAAACTGGGTGACTTGGAAGGCGCTGAACAGGCTGCACTCTGGCACCACGAGATGCAGAGCCAACCTTAGGAAATGGGGCCACAAAGTGGAATCCACGACATGAAGAGCAAACTACAGACCACCTGCTGCAATGCAACCTGAGCCCTGCTACATGCACAATGGAGGACCTTCTTATAGTAACACCGGAAGCACTCCAAGTGGCCAGATACTGGTGAAAGGACATTTAATCAACTACCAAGCTTGCAAACTTTGTGTTTTGTTTGTTTGTTTGCTTGTTTAAAATGCAATACAACTGTTTGGCTTGCTCCTGACACAATAAATAAATAATGGGTATTGAAAATATGCTGAGGAAGCATCCTGTTTTCCTCCCCCCCCCCCCCCCTGTTTTGAGGGACTCCATTAAGCCGCCAAATGGTCTTCAGTGGTTAAAAAACCTGGCTCCTAGACCTTCTGAAGTTGGTCATCCCTATTACAATGGTGACAGAAAAACAAACATATTTTCCAAGGACCATGCAAGATGGATGGGAGGCTGGAAGGTATGCATCTGTTACCAGGCTGTAATTGGGTCTGTAATTAAAATGCTCACTAATTATGAAAGAACCACTCATACAAGGAGGTGCAAGGAAGTTCACCAGCATAGTTTACAGGGAGAAAATATATCTGACTGTGGGAGTTCTAGCTTGCTGAAAGAAGTGGATGGATTGAGGTCCCTTCCACACAGCTGAATAAAATCCCACAGTTTCTGCTTTTGAACTGGAATATATGGCAGTGTGGACTCAGATAACCCAGTTCAAAACAGATATTGTGGCGTTTTCTGCCTTGATATTCTGTGTGGAAGGGCCCAGAGACATTCTTCATCAGTTGAGTTTATATATTACTGTCCAATCATCTAGGCTTGCTGATGAGGGATTGCTATAAGTGGAGATACTCTCAATCCCAACCATTACTAAAGTGGGATTGAGAGTATTTCCCCCAACAAAATAATTCTGTCCCTTTTCAAATTATGTGTTTCTTCAGACAGCAAACTTCTTGCATGGCAAAAATAAAGTGTCAAAATTGTTCACGCCTCTTTGTTTCTTTTTGTTATATTTGTATCCCCTTGGGTCACTTTGCATGTCACTTTTCTATGCCTAAATGTTCAGCTGACAATTTAAATTTAAATATGAGGAATGAGAAAACGTATTAATTAGCAGGGTAAAGTATTTATTTTGGGGTAGAGGGATGCCCTCATTTTGCCACTGCTGCCTAATCACAGCCCTGCTCAGTCACAGATATTTACATGTACTTCCCTTTTTACAAAGTACACTTGCACATAAGACATACACACATACATATGTATATACAAACGCAAACTGCTGTTTTAGCACAGGGAGCTGATTTCACTCTTGCTGCAGCCCCACTTGCAGCAGGCATTACTCAGTCCAGCCATAACATCTCGGGATCCACGATCCAAAGCCCAGATTTCTTCTGGGGAATTCTGGCTCTGTTGGCCTCGCCAGCTCCCATAATAGTCTGATAGCTCCTTTGGGGGGACATGGACTGGGTCCCATTCATTGGAGGATGACGTTGCAATGAAGGTTTCTGCAGAATCCCCTCCATGGAGGGCAGCAAGGTTACCTGCAATTAGAGAGTAACATGGAAATAGTGGGAGGAATTAATCCAGCATTCCTACTATTCTGCTGCTATTTCTTGTGAAATAGTTGTGTTTTGCTGCAGCACTCATATTGCAGAGTGAAGCAAAGTCTCATAAGACTACTAAAATTGTACCACTGCACAGTTGTATAAAAAAAATTGAAAAACCTGCGGAAAATGCGAAGGAACCGCTAGGCTAAGCTTTTGCCAATCTAATCAGATCAAACAAAAACATAAAAGGATATAAGATAGTGAAGAAATAAAAATAAATTGACGCAGTAGTCTTTACAGGTTCAATGGAGAATTCGGTAAACGAAGTAGCAAAAGAAATTCAAAAATTCAAAAAAGATTTCAGGCTTAACAATTAATATTGAAAAATCAGAAATTCTATATAAAAACATGAACTGGAAGGAGGTAAAAGAAGTCCAATCCATTCTAGGGGTCAAACTGGGGGGAAAGAAGTTAAAATACTTAGGGGTGTATATACCTAAAATTTAAATAATATAATTCAGATAAATTATAACCAACTATGGAAGAAAACAAGCAAACAAATCAACAATTGGAAAAAATGGAATTGGGATCAGGCCTGTAGCGAGGGGGGGTGGTGTTAGGGGTTCAAACTCCCTCCCCTCCTGAAACAGTTTGACCTATTGCACCACCGTGGCCCCTTATACAGTATGACCTCTATATCCATGGGAGCGGGAGGGTATATTCCTGGACTTCATGTGAATACTTGAAATCACAGCTAATAGCACACTCATTTCCAGCCCAGAAATACCATAGAGAGGACATGCATTGGATGTGGATAAATGAAACTGGATATATGGGTCCTACTGTGGTACACCCTATAAATCAGCCATCAGATAATGTAAAACAGATTGCAAAACCATTGGATGCTAGCAAAAAATTACTAGTGTATCCAGATAATATTTAATATTAATATTAAAATTAATAGAGGAGTTGGGGAAGCACATTACATTTTATTAATGAAAATAAATCAGCATTTGCAAGACTGGTTGGTTTTACTTTTTGTGAAGTACAGCTAAAGCATTTTCCGCAGGATCCACTGTAAACACTGCACATTGTTGCTAAAATTTGTGTAAATGGTTGACATTCAGAAAGCTTTTACTATTGCCAATTATTTTGGACTGCAACATTGAGCTAAGGGAACCCTACTTGGGGTTGGCACCCACAGTTTAATAACCAGTGCTGTAATGCATCTTAATGGTAACTTTCAGGGAAACCTCCTATAGAATCGCCTGGAAGACTTAGAAAACGGCAGGAGAAACCATTTTCCCTCAGCCACAGTTAAGTGAAACCGATTATATGAGTTCTATGGTTACAGAATTCTTTTTGTATGTAGGCAACTAGGCTAAATTAAATAGTCCTTATCCCTCCCATTTTATCTTGCTTTGGGAACAGAGCCTTTAGTTAAAATTTCTGTTTTAATTTCCAAAGAGGAAAATATGTTATAATGGCAAGCTGTGAGCAACCTTGGTTACTACTGAATGATATAATCAGGGGCTTTAGTCTAGAAACATTATGGCATTGAGCAATCCTGAACTGGCACATTGGCAACCCTATGCCTCAGATCTGCATGTCAACATACACTATGCCAGCAATATGCCGTTTCTACATAGAATAGCAACATTGTAAACTACATGTCCATGGGTGGGTGCTAGGTATGTAAAGGCAGATGCTGAGAATAGGAGATGATGTAGATTTTGGAAATGTTCCTTTGTGAGGTTACAAGTTCCCTAATCCCTTAGGCCAGGGGTCCTTAAATTTTGTAAACAGAGGGCCAGGTCACAGTCCCTCAAACTGTTGGAGGGCCGGATTATAACTTGAAAAAACATGAATGAATTCCTATGCACACTGCACATATCTTATTTGTAGTGCAAAAAACACTTTAAAACAATACAATAATTAAAATGAAGAATGATTTTAACAAATATAAACTTATTAGTGTTTCAATGGGAAGTGTGGGCCTGGTTTTGGCTGATGAGATAGGATTGTTGTTGTTGTTGTGTGCTTTCGTTTCAGACTTAGGTTGATCCTGAGCAAGGGCCGGGTAAATGACGTGGAAGGGCCGTATCTGGCCCCCGAGCCTTAGTTTGAGGACCCCTGCCTTAGGCAGTATGGCTCAAGACCATGCCAACTGAGCAAAAAAGCAAACTTTCCCCATCTCTGCTGCTGGCACACGGGGTTTCACATTACGGGTTTTGTTGCTCATTGCACAACATGAAATTGTACAACATACAATTGCAGTGTAGAGTTATAACATGCAAATTGATTTGGCAATTGCCATGAGAAAGCACAGCATGCAGCATTACATTGTCTGCTTCCACCACTATCTATATAAATAAAAATGTAATGTTCATTTGTGGGATTCACATTAACACCAAATTTGGACGCAATACACCTATCAGGCCAACGAGTGACCATCCCTCATAAAAATACTGAAAAACACAGTGGAAGAGAGCTAAAATAGCCAAAAAATAAAAAAAATACATTACAATGCATGCACACACACATATATATACACACAAGACACATATACGTAGACTGGGCCACAGCAATGCGTGGCAGGGAAACGGCTAGTCAGAATATATATCGACATCTTTCATTGCTGCCAGGTTTCCTATAGCCACTTTACACCTACCTCTTCGCCGCACCATCGCCGCTGGCTGCATTCAGAACTGTCCTCCATTGCAGCTTCCTCAACACCCACAATCTTTGATGACAACTTAGGAAGACTGGTCTATGGACCTGGTCTACTTTGGGAGTGGGAGGGTGCCTTCACTTTGCATTTATTTTTATATACTACCAATCTAATGAGCCCCCGGTGGCGCAGTGGGTTTAAGGACTGAAGACTGACAGATCGCAGGTTCGAATCCAGGGAGAGGCGGGTGAGCTCCCTCTATCAGCTCCAGCTCCTCATACGGGGACATGAGAGAAGCCTCCCACAAGGATGATAAAACATCAAAACATCCAGGCGGTCCCTGGGCAACGTCCTTGCAGACGGCCAATTCTCTCACACCAGGAGTCACTCCTGACATGACAACACCCCCCCAAAAAAAACAAACAAAAAACAATCTAATAACTTGTAAGCCAGTCTAACAAGTTGTACAAATAACTTGTAAGCTGCTCTGAGTCCCCTTTGGGGTGAGAAGGGCAGCATAAATATGTTGTAAATAAATAAATAAAAAATAAATATATTGTTTGGTGGCCAATAATTCACCATTTATGCATGTTTAGGTCACCAGCAGGATGCTGGCCAATAAGGATATGATCTTTAGGCTTCTGTCTTTTCTAATTTTTCAGCTAGAGAAGAAGTTGGAAAGGTTATATTTTTGAACGACAATTTCCAGAACCTCCTGACCAACATGACCACACTGTGTGGGAGATTCTGAGATTTGTACCCCAAACAGGAGATTCCCCAAGCTCTGAACTAGACCCAGTTCCCCAGCCGTCCCCTAGCAATTTCCACTCACCTGCCCGTCTCCAGCGAGATCCCCCGCAGGTGAAGATTACCGCTCGGATGAACTCTCTGCCGCACAATTTCACGCCATAGGGGGGTGTCCTGGCCTCACTCCCCAGCCTCATCTCCAAGAGCAGCACCCCTAGGACCAAAGCAAAGAGAAACTTGTGCATGGCTGGGCACAGACAAGATTGGAAAGTAAAGGTCTGCAGGCACACAGCTCCCGATAGCCTGCTGCTTCTCTCCGTGAGTCTTCTTTATAGCAGCCAGATCTATGCGCAAGGTAGCCAAGGATGTCCATCCACGTTATCTACCCAATTATCAGCAGAGAACAGGTGAAGACCTTTCTTGGACACTGGCGGTGGGGGTGGTGGGCAGTGATTCTTGCGTCGACTGTGCCAACTAGTCAGAGATAACCTTTTGCTTGTTATCATCATAGCGAGTAAGGAATCATTACCTGGCCTTTCACAGAGTACACATTGAAAAGCCAGGTGCATCGAGACAGAGCCATGGAAAAGCAAATGCTGGGAATAGACAATGACGCAGAGCTTGGAAAAGTTCATTTTGTGGGCTACAACTCCCTAAATCTCTCAGACAACTCTTGAGAGCTCAAATCCTTAAAAAAAAGGAAACCTTCCCAATCCCTGCTGCTGCTCCAAAAGGCTTCGCATTATGAGTCATAGTGGGAGCTGGGTTTTGTTTGTTCTCTCAGGTTTGACGTTCTGGAAGTTGTCACCTGAAAAAGTAACTTTTCTCATTCAGACATGACTATTGCCAGACTACTGGCACTTTCAAAGCTTCCACATCCTTTTCTAATTTAAAACTATTACATTTGGCCTGGCCATAAGTTTTTAAATCCTTGTGTGTTATTGTTTATATGTGATTTATATTAATTGTATTGTTTTTGTTTATTGCTTTCTTGTTTTATTGATGTGTTGTTGGGCTTGGCCTCATGTAAGCCGCTCTGAGTCCCTTGGGGAGATGGTGGCGGGGTATAAATAAAGTTTTATTATTATATTAATAATTATTATTATTCTCTATTCTTATAGCCACATTATGTTACACCAAGCCAATACAAGAAGGTGAACTGCCTTCTTCCTATTTGTGCTTTTTTATACTAGGACACTATCTGCCCTTGTTTGAATCAAGGTTGGAGAGCTACTGTAATAGTCCTTCAGATGGCAAACTTCAGTTCCTATCAGGGTCCTTCCAAACAGCCATATAACCCACCCAGAATATCAAGGCAGAAAATCTCACAATATCTGCTTTGAACTGGGTTATCTGAGTCCATACTGCCATATATTCTAGTTCAAAGCAGATAATGTGGGATATTATTCAGCTGTGTGGAAGGGGCATCAGTGGTGAAATATAATGGTAATATCAGGGCACCACATCAATATTCATATTCCTGCCTTGTTGATACATTTACATATTTATAGGTATAGTTCACCTTTATGCCACTAAATAATAAGCTAAATATGACAACAAGACAGGAACACATATATCAGCATTGTTGTTGTTTTTTATTCGTTCAATTGTTTCTGACTCTTTGTGACCTCATGGAGCAGACCACGCCAGAGCTCCCTGTTGGCCGTCACCACCCCCAGCTCCTTCAGAGTCAAGTCAGCCACTTCAATGTTACCATCCATCCATCTTGCCCTTGGTTGGCCCCTCTTCCTTTTTCCTTCCATTTCCTAAGCATCACTGTCTTCTATAAGCTTTCCTGTCTTCTCATAATGTGGCCAAAGTACCGTACATTCTGGCATATAAGACTACTTTTGAACCCAAGAAAATCTTCTCAAAAGTCAGGGGTCATCTTATACGCAGGAGTCGTCTTATACGTAGGAGTCATCTTATACACTGGAGTAGCCTTATGCATGGGAGTAATCTTATATGTGGGAGTAGTCTTATAGAGCGGGTGCTGAAACTTCCAATCCAGATTGGAGAATATGTGGTTGCTGCATATGCTGAGGGGAGCTAAAAAAATGGCTGTGGCCACGTCCCTGCCTTATGCAGCAACTGTAAGAAAGCATTAAGGGTGACGCTGTACAAGTACGGTCGTAGAAAATCCATTCATCAGGATTCGTGGACTTAATCCGGTCCCAATGGTGAGGTGAAGGGGCGCCTCACCAGGAAGGTGTAAGTGAAGGGTGGAGCAAGCTTCAGGCATCTGGGGTGCCCGGGGTATGGAAAAAAGAGATAGAGTGGCTCTGTGCCCAGAAAAACACACCTCTTTTACCTGTCTGGCCCGCCCTTGTATACTATTACCGTACCTCCTTCTCTGCCTCTCAGATCCTGCTCCTGAAGACTGCAGTGAAGCGGTGCAGGTGCGAGATCTGAGAGGCAGAGAAGGAGGTACAGTAATAGGAAAATTACCATTTTGAAATCAAATCTGATGCTTTTAAATTTTTTATTTGGTGTGTGTTGGAAGAGGGTTAGTCTTATACGGTGAGTATATCCCAAACTCTATATTTTAACTGGAAAAGTTGGAGGTCGTCTTATACGCCCAGTTGTCTTATATGCCGGAATATACAGTAAACAAAAACAATAACATCACATAAAATACTTAGTAATAGCATCCTGCCTTCCCTAAGCTTTTAAGTCCTGTACTAAAAGCTACAGTGAAACTCATGACAGCATTGGAGAGGCAAAGCAGTGAACATTCATCCCCAGCTGACCCTCCTGTTTGATTCATTTCTCCATCAGGGATTGGACTGAAAAGTAATTTCTGTTTTTGTTGTTGATCAAACTTCACTGAGACTGTCAGAGAGACCTCATGCATTCAGAGTGTTGGCCTGGGACCCGGGGGCCATTGGGGGCTGCCTGTATATAAAATTCAATGCATGGTTGATTAGTTGATCAGAAAGGTTCCTACATGGTTTGCTGGATCTGAACAAAACTTGACAAAGATACCCTTTATTGTTGTTGTTCATTCGTTCAGTCGTTTCCGGCTCTTTGTGACCTCATGGACCAGCCCACGCCAGAGCTCCCAGTCGGCTGTCACCACCTCCAGCTCCTTCAATCAAGCCAGTCACTTCAAGGATGCCATCCATCCATCTTGCCCTTGGTCGGCCTCTCTTCCTTTTTCCTTCCATTTTCCCCAGCATCATTGTCTTCTCTAAGCTTTCCTGTCTTCTCATGATGTGGCCAAAGTACTTCATCTTGGCCTCTACTATCCTTCCCTCCAACGAGCAGTCGGGCTTTATTTCCTGAAGTATGGACTGGTTGGATCTTCTCGCAGTCCAAGGCAGTCTCAGCACTTTCCTCCAGCACCACAGTTCAAAAGCATCTATCTTCCTTCGCTCAGCCTTCCCTATGGTCCAGCTCTCACATCCGTAGGTGACAATGGGGAATACCATTGCTTTGACTGTGTGGATATATATCAGCATAGGGCACAATTATTTGCAACATCCGTAGGTGACAATGGGGAATACCATTGCTTTGACTGTGTGGATATATATCAGCATAGGGCACAATTATTTGCAATATATCTTATCACATGCCCACTTTGAGAGCCATCATGATATAGTGGTTTAGTGCTGAAGTACTGAAGTAACTATAAAAACCCACTGGGTGACTTTGGGCAAGTCATATTCTCGGCCCCAGCTTTATCGGCCCCAGCTTTATCCTCGAAAAGAGCCTCATGGGGCTGTTCAAGGTTCACAGTCAGAGAGACTGTGCGAGGACCCCAAATATTCATAGGAACAATGGGGACTAGAACCTGGATCTCCCAAGCATTCGTCTAAAGCTCCTTTCAACTACACACATATAGTGCTATGATTTTCCTTTAACTGCAATGGGGTTTGTTCTTTGGCTGCATCAGTTTGAAGCTAGCGTCTGATATCATTAAATGGTCAGTGTTGATGAGGCTGGAGGAACTCTTTTTTTGACCCACATTTGGGTCACTCACATTGACACTGAACATGTAGAATCTGGAAAGTTTTGCAGTATTTCTCACTTCAGCCACTGGAGTATGTCTGCTTTCTTCTCTGTATGCTTTCTTCTCTGTATGGAGTATGTCTGCTTTCTTCTCTGTATGTGCTCTTCCACAGGCTTAGTTCGGCTGTATTTTGTTAGACAAGGTTGTCAGTTTAGACATGTGCCCCAGGGATCTTGTTATATCTGTTTTCTTTTTTTACTGTCCAGCATGCTGTTCATTTGATGAGAAATAAATGTGTGTAGCTGAAGACTTAAAGCCCCCACCAGTCTTATGTTGTGACACAAAATGTCCCCTCTGGTTATATGTTTGATATGTATTTCAAGTCAACGCTTCAAAAACAGTTGGGAAATGCAGAATTCATTGGCCTGAATCACTTATTTGATTGAAGGTACCTGTGGAAAAACTGTGTAGTGATCATTCTCAAGACTGAGACAGAGGAAGAGGAAGAAGAGGAGAGAGGGGAGGCAATGCAATATATATATTGCACCACAATTGGAGAGAGATATTGACAAGCTGGAATGTGTCCAGAGGAAGGCGACTAAAATGATCAAGGGTCTGGAGAATAAGTCCTATGAGGAGCGGCTTAAGGAGCTAGGCATGTTTAGCCTGAAGAAGAGAAGGCTGAGAGGAGATATGATAGCCATGTATAAATATGTGAGAGGAAGCCACAGGGAGGAGGGAGCAAGCTTTTTCTGCTTCCATGGAGACTAGGACACAGAACAATGGCTTCAAACTACAAGAAAGGAGATTCCATCTGAACATGAGGAAGAACTTCCTGACTGTGAGAGCCGTTCAGCAGTGGAACTCTCTGCCCCGGAGTGTGGTGGAGGCTCCTTCTTTGGAAGCTTTTAAACAGAGGCTGGATGGCCATCTGTCAGGGGTGATTTGAATGCAATATTCCTGCTTCTTGGCAGGGGGTTGGACTGGATGGCCCATGAGGTCTCTTCCAACTCTTTGATTCTATGATTCTATATGCATCTGTTTTATGTAGCATTGAATTATTGCCTATTGTATGGCTGCTCTCAGTCCCCTTCGGGGTGAGAAAGGTGAGATATAAATACAAGAAATTATTATTATTATTATTATTATTATTATTATTATTATTATTATTATGGTCAATATCCAGCACCAATTTATTTTTTCAATTCATAGTCGTCACTAACAACAGGGAAAGGCCTAAAAATCAGAAACAAAGACTCGCTGGATAGATACATGGATGGATGAATAGATACAGGTAGTTAATAGATAACTGCACCGGTGGTGCAGTGGATTAAACCACTGAGCAGCTAAACTTGTTGACTGAAAGGTCACAGGTTTGAATCTGGGTAGCGCCGTGAGCTTCCGCTGTCAGCCCCAGCTTCTGCCAACCTAGCAGTTCAAAAACTTGCAAATGTGAGAAGAGCAAGAAGTACCACTTCAA